TACTTCCTAAAACAAAAATCTCAGTCCATCATTATCCCTTGCATACAAAACAAGGTAGCAGGAAGATGCATAGCCATAATCTCAGACTCATCAAAATCTGAATCACTTTATTATTATGTAATCTGTAGTGTACCTTGAAGGTGCCTGACTGCTTTTCTATAAAATAAATTTAAAAAATGCTAATAGCAAACCAAAATCATTCATACCTCTGTAATACGTTTTAGTGTGTACCTATGCTGTGATGCACTGGGTGGTAATTGACAGTAAAAATTTCAGTATTCAGGCTCCCCTGCTGTATGAATTACAGATTTTGCTGTTTGTACTAGTTTGTTCATACTCCTGACTGTTGTCTCCTGAGATTTAATAGAAACCCTGCTGTTTTCGTAACGCGGTGAGTTTCTTAATAGTTGGTTCCTGATACGAAAACTTAACTAAAAAAGTGACCATGGGTTGAGAATTGACTAATGTATTCGTAGCATTTTCAAGTGAATGAGTTCAATGCTATAGTTTATAAACAAGATTTATTTGTCTTTCTGGGTTATTCCCCTGGATTAAAAATCTCATTTCAAATAGGATTGGCTTGTTGAAAATGTTATCCTCACGTGCACTTACTAATATGATTTCCATTATCATAAACTGCCTCCATATGTAACTGGGGATTCTGTACCAGTTTGTTTTACCTGGCTCATTTTAATGGACGTCATGCTGAATTACAGTAGTTTCTTTTGGGGTTTTAGATTTGGGGTTGTTTTTTTTTTTCTTTTAAATGATCTAAGTTAAAACCAAGGTCTTAAATGAGCCTAAAGTAGAAAAAAGATTTTATTTTGGCTTGAGAGCTCCCTATTTGCCCTGAAGTAGGTGTTTTATTCTTTTACTTTGCACAAAGTGTGAAATTTTTTATTTTTTTTTTTTAGTTTTATCCAATTTGATTTCTTTTCTAAATTTTGTTTGATTGTTTGGAAAAAAGCTAGAGGTTGCATTATTCAGACAATTCTAGTTAATAATTCTTAAATACATACACCCAGTTGCCTGAGTTAGGCCTGAGCCAAATACATGGTATCAAGAGTCCGTGGAGGAGCTGGTGCTGCTGCACCTCCTGCCTCACTGCCTTGGAGCATCTTCTCCAAGCCTAGCACGCATCTTCTGTTTCATTCTGCATGGTTGAGAAGGGAGATTGAAAAAAAATTTTAACCTAGTCAATAAAAAGATTTTTTTAAAAATGCAAAAAAATAAATGCAGCAGGAGAGAGAGAAAAGTCATGAATGATAATACGTAACCTAGAAGGCTTCTACTTTGGATTAACGTTTATATTTTGGTTAGCAATTTCTTCCTCTGGTGACTTTGTAGCCTTTGCTCACAAGGCCATAAGCTGTTCCTGGTGTATCCAGCACTTCATACGTTCATGGTGCTGTTGGGACAGATAGCATTCTCACCGTGGGTTATTCAGATATACTCCTAGGACTTCAGCCCCTACTAAAGGGAAGCGCACCCTTTTGTAGCCCCAAGAACCTGGTGAAGCAAATGAAACCAGGTGAAAGTAATTCAACCCAAAATAACTCCATTAGCAGTACCTGGAAGAGTTTATAAGAGTCACTTTGCTGACAAGTAAACTGCAAAGAAAAGATGAAAATTGAGTCTGACTGGAAGGTGGAAAACTGCTTTCCCTTTGCTTGGTTTCTTTTTGTGTACAGCATGAATGCAGAGTGTTTTTTGCCAGGCATGTAAGCTGTTGACTGAAGCAGAGAAGAATGAGGACTTTAATAGAGAAAGCAAAGTATTTAATTGTTATTTTCATAGCTAATTCTTTTCTAAGCAGATCTTCATATTCTCATATTTCTGTGACTTTTCACTTTTATTTCTTACATAAATGAGAGAATCAGGTCAGCTCAGTTCCCACATCTAATGGCTTGTTGACAAGGAAAAAATTAATCAGAATAGCTACTGTGGAATAAATTACTCCAAAATAGCTTCCCCATGGATACTGTTATTCTGAAATAAGTATGCCTTTTTTCTGATTAGTACTTATTCTGCCAGACCAATGTTTGTCAAGTTTCCCAGGTAGACAGCAGTCAGCCTGCAGAAATCAGTACCTTCCAGAAAGTATCTTGACTTCTTGAACAAGACTTGTCACTGCCATAACCGTTCCACCGGCAGAGACCAGCCCTGAATGGCTGTACCTAACCACATCAGAGCCCTCTGCAGGGACCTTCACTGCATAAAGCAAAAAGCAAGAGATTTCAATTTCTTTATCACCTTTTCAAGTCTAGTAGAATTTTTAAATATTTGCACTCTTGGAGAATCTACTAGTGATTTGATGCTTCTCAGTTCACTTATTAAGAATGTAGAGACTTTCACTCTTTGGACAAAAAAAAGAGGAAGCCATAACAGGAGATATTTTTTTCCTTGCAGTTCTAAGCCTGCTTTTCAGGTTTCAACCCAAAAAGCACTTTTGTTTTTTTCATCAGAACACAAGGAAAACCCCTGTGGTTCATATCGTGAACTCCTCCGTCCATTTCCCATGCGGTTTTGTTTGGACTGGCGGCTCCTTATTGTTTCAGCTTACTGATTTCCTAGTGGATTTCAATAGCTTTCTAGGTTTTCCTGAATATAAAGTGACTGCTACACTCAAAGTCAATAAACTCAGCGTTTCCCACCGCTGGCAAATGCCTGTTGTCTCCAGGAGTGGGAGAATGTGGAAAGAACTTAACGCATACAGTGACCTGCAGCTATGCCAGCTTTGCTGGATCCGAGGGTCTTAGATTATTGTTGCTAGCTTTCTACAGTTGCCCTTGGCTCATTATCACAAAAACTAGCCTGATCTATCTGATTTCCCAGCTGCAGTAGGATAGATTCGTTAATTTTTTTTGCTTAGCCAAGCAATTACCTTGCTCAAGGTCAGGCAAGGATTTTCAGATTCCAGGAAAGCCCATTTCATTATACTTGTTTGTTCTGTAGAAGGACTTTTGCTTTCTTTTAGAAGTTGAATATTTTATGCTGTTATTTACTGAGCATTCACAAAGTGCGATGTGCTCTATTGAGAAAAGAGCAGAATTGGCTGAGGGTTGGTCTCTCGCACCCGTTAAAGTCAATGACAAAACTACAGCAGCTTCCCTGATAACGCAGTTTGCCCTGAGGAGGTACGGGGTTTTATAGGCGCCAAAGCCTTGATCCGAACAGAGCGCAGAAAGTCAAAGTATGAAGTGAAAATATCTGACAGTATGCTGATCCTATAGCGTTCCGATTTTAACACAAGGGAAATCCATACAGTGATATGATCACTCCACATTTATTCAGACCGACCTTGTTAAAAATACAAAGAGATGTCTTTGTTGAAGGATACAATGCCTTATTCTTGCTTTATATGCATTAGTGTGCTTGTCAATCCAAGCAAGTCGGCAACTGCTAAGTCATAAAATGGATGTTTAAGAAGAGAGTTGGACATTTCACTGTACCTTATTAAATCTGTTTCTGGTTGAGTATGTAATTTAGGCAATTTGGACATCTAAGCTGCTGATAGAAGCAATTAAATGCCAATAGGCCAATTTTAAGTTTTATTTGGGTGCTTAATTTAGATGCATTTCAGTGCTTCAATTGTCATCATAAGCTTTGGACATGTAAATAAAGGAATTGCACCCACAAATGTTGCAAGTTTGTGCATGAAGAAATGTAGATTTTGGGGGAAAAATCAATTATTTCTCCTACTTTTTCATACTTGAAAATGGAGGGAGGAGGAATAGGTTTATTTTCGCTTTCCTGGTGCAAACATCCATGGAGAAGACTGTATCTGTCAGATCACTGGGACAGAGCCTGCATCAAGGTGTGTTTTTCTGTACCACCAACTACAAAAGAAGCATAGTCATGATTCTGCCCTTTTTGGACCATTCTAGTGTTGCAACCAATAAATGAAAAGTAAACATCCTAAAGCACTAAGAAAACTGTTGTAGGGCTTAAAATAGAAGTCAGACAACTGTAACAAGTACCTTTTTTTACTATTGTAGTGAGGACGCTGCCCTGGTTTTGGCTGAGATAGAGTTCATTTTCTCTCTGGTAGCCGGCATAGTGCTGTGTTTTGGATTTGGTTTGAGAATAATGTTGGTAACACTGATGTTCTTAGTTGTTGCTAGGTAGTTGTAGTGTCTACACTAAGTCAAGGACTTTTCAGCTTCTCGCGGCCTGCCAGGGGCACAAGAAGCTGGAAGAGCACAGCCAGGACAGCTGGCCCAAAGGGATATTCCCTACCGTACATCATGCTCCATATATAACTGGGGAGGCTAGTCAGGAGGTGGGATCGCTGCTCAGAAACACACTGGGCATCGAGTTGGGTTTTTTCCTGCATGCAGTGAGCAATTGCATTTGTGCATTGTTTGTTTTATTATTATTGTTGTTGCTGTTGCTGCTGTTATTATTATCTTCCTTTGTTGTCTTTTTAAACTGTCTTTATCTCAACTCATGAATTGCTTTTCTTTTTTCATTCTCTTCCCAATCCCCTTTGGGGTAAGGGGAGCGAGCAGCTGCACGGTGCTTAGTTACCCACTGGGGTTAACCCATGACAGATGCTTATGAGAGTTAGATAACATTTCAGACTTTATTACTGCAGACTGGTTAGCAAGTGTATATTCTTCACAGGTGTGAACAGACAGTAGTGACAATAAAGGGCTATTAGAGGTATTGGTTGCACGGTGTGGATCATGCACCCCTTGGACTAATGAGTGTGGTGTAGTGATTCTCTTCTTCTGCCTGTTCTGCAGTGAAGACAGTCTCAGTCTTCCATATTCACTTAGTTTTCAGGTTCTGTTTCCTCATTGTCACATGGGGATTTTATGAGGTGATACAGTGTTAATGACTAGAGAGAAATACCCCTCCTGGACTAAGCATGTACGTTAATGCTTTATTGAATTTGAATGTGTTGTAATCAGCATGTCTTCCGATTGATTAAATACCATGGTGCTTTATTCTCAGAATCACTCAATTTCCTGAACTTTCCATTCTTTCCATTTCAGATGGCTTGACAGACTGTGTAGACCCTGACTGTTGTCAGCAAAGCAATTGTTACGCAAGTCCTCTCTGCCAGGGTTCGCCTGATCCCCTTGACCTCATTCAGCACAGCCAACCGCCTTTCTCTCAGCATCCTCCCAGGCTCTTTTATGATCGAATCAGATTCCTTATTGGGAAGGAAAGCACTCATGTCATCCCAGGAGATGTCTCGTTTGAGAGCAGGTGAGGTTTTTTTTAGACGACTTTACTGAATATTGAGAACTGCAATGAAATTATTTAACCAGGAAAAACCAGTGATACCTGGGTAGCTGAGAATTCTTCGCTGGTGATCAAAAAAATACTTAAAAGGAGAGCAAATGTTTAAGTCCCAACAGCTGAGGATCTCGTTTATCAGATTATCGTTACTACCTATCTAGTTCATAGAAGCATCACAGCAACAAACTCTACTACTCTTATTAAACAAGACTTTGTTGTGGAAGGTCAGCTATCTCGTACTTACAAAATAAGCGGGGGGAAGTTCAGCGCTTTATGCTGTAGATGCATATAATGGCAGGAAGCAGTAGGACGAGTTGGATTCATATGCGTTGTATTCAGTCACCTTTCTGCCCAATACAATTTGATTCGTATTTACAGTGTAATAAATTTAACATGTGTCAGATATAATCCAGCTACCTAATTGAGAAACTTTTTTGATTTACTGCACGTTGATGGACCAGTGTGGAGTTTAGCTTATTGTGCTGTGGGTTACTCTCAAGCTGTCATGCAAACAGTAGTGTCATCTCTGAGCGTTTGTGAGATTGGCTTGCCCTTTAACAGGAAAAGACTGTGCATTAAGGAGAGGGGCACTTACTTGCTCAGAAAACCTGGTAACACATATTTTCTTGAACATTTGAAATATAGGGGCACATAAGTTTTTATGCTGTAGTTCACCTGGGAAGCTATAACTTACATGCTGACAAAGAGATCCACAAATCATCCACGTCACCTAACTATTACCCTGTCAACTAGGCCTATGCATTAGATAAACCATGTTCCAGTAATAAGGGCATAAGAATTCTTTTATTTTCACAGTACAGTACACAGCACTTAGGTTACAACCTCAACTCCATTCCATAGCTGAGCACAAATTCAGTGCACTTTCTCTTTGTAGCTTATTAATTTTTAATAAAGTAAATATGTAAACATAGTCTTTATTGATCTGAAATACCTGAACATTTAATCACTATTAATAATGGAGCAGGATGTTATAAATATGTAGAACAACAGGGCATGAAAAATGAACTCCATGAAAAGCACCCGCCTGCCAACGGTGGGTCTCTTGCTGAAGGAACAATGCCATCACACCTGGTGCGAGGTCCTTGGCGGGTTGTACGCAGTTTAAACCGAAAGTCACCAGTGAAAGATTTTCCTCATCAAAATGCCTCACACTGAGGTTGTTTTCAGAGAGGAGGTGAGCACTCGAGACGCCTGTATAGTGTTCTGTGACACTGCAAATGTTAGCAGCCAGATTGCACGTAATCCCCTCAACGTGCTGTTATAGATATAAGGAACTGATCTTTTAAAGCTGTTATTGATGGGATTTAACTTGGATTTTAAAGCTTTTTCTGAGTATTTTGTTTCTTTACCCTGATATCTGCCATGCCTCTGAAGAACAACGAGCAGCCCACCCTCACCATGGTTTCATACTTTATACCACTAAGGAACACAACTTGTACTTGCACCGGTGCGTTGTTCACCCCCCCAGATATCATTTCCTCCCACTGTAAAGAAATTACTAGTTGGTTTGGTGAGAAGATCATTGGGATTCAGATGAGGCTGCAGGTATCTTTGGAATCAGGGCATTGCCCAGAGACTTGTGCTGTGCCATGTCTCCTGGGTTTTGTCAACAGTAATCTGTGATGTGCCGGGCACCCCGAGGAGTTCATCGGTCCACACTTTGCTTGATCCTCAAGTCTTCCAGGCTGTTGAAAAATTGCTCATCCATAAGTCAAATATTATTAAAAACTGCCAGAATTTTCCTCAAGGATGACAGATAAGCAGAGTCTCAGAAGGAGGCAGTGGCTTAGCTGTGCTGCCTCTGCTCAGAAATCTTCCTCTGACATTGTCAATCTGACTGTCATCTACTGTCTGTTCTTCTCCTGGGAATTAAGATTGCTGAAAAAAAATATAGAAAGACAACTGTTACTAGAGTGAAAAAAAAAAATCAGAAATGTGTGATCCTGCCTATCTGGTACAGACGAAAGAATGCTTGGGGGTTTTTAATCTCCTTTTGGCTGTTGCTGAAAAGGTTGTGTCCAGGCAGACGACATTAACTCATGGCTGCCTGCAGTGCCACTTATTTTATAGCATTGGTGGTTCAACAAGAAATGTTGGAAGAACTGTATCGAATAGTGTCATTCATTTAATTCAGAGCACTGGCATCCATTCCCACTGGTGTTCAAATTTTGCAAAGCCCTATCTGTTGTGTTGGTTTGGTTTGGTTTTTTCTCCTTTGCAAGAAGTCTCTGAGACCATTAGGAGGATTAAGAAAGAAACATCTATCCAGTGTTTTCAGTCTTCTGATTCAAATGACATTATGCAGTCTTGTACCATACCATAGGTCAGTGGAACTCCAATATGGGTGATGTTTGCATGAATCTCACTGTAGATAAAGCCAGAGTGATGCTGAATAGATTTGAGAAAGCTATCAAAAAGTGGTGAAGATTATCTCTGTCCTTCAGACTGAAAGTGTTTGGTCTCTGCCATATCCTGGCATTGTCAACATCATCTGAAATACTAAAATTAGTTGTTCTGACCAGTGCTAGGACACCTATGCTTTTGCATTTGCATCTTAGACTTTAGCTTCCATCTAATTTTTAAATATTAGTCAGGGTGTTGTGTTGAGCCATGGCTAAATACTACACCAAGATTAATGTTGAGAAGTTAAATGTTTTCAAACCACATTTTACTTTTTATTATGTGAAAGCTGTGTCATTTGTACCAGGTTTTTCCAAACTCCCAACTTAAACTGTGACATGCTGAAAGGCGGATCAGACACATTCTGAATAAATGGAAATGTACTTGCTTATATCAGGAATGGCTTTGACCTGCTGCATGTAGCAGGGTGTAGCAGATTATAATGTTTTTATCAACTTCTGTTCTCAGGAAGGTTTTTAGCTTGTTTCTTTGCCGAGTATTTTTAATGCATGCTGCTGGCAAGCTATTTGACTCGCTGCAAATTGCCTACAAAAAGGGTCCAGTGTATGGTACTGAATTAATCACCCTTCAAAGGCTGCTTACAGCAACATTGTCAGCATGAAGAAATGAATGTACCTTACTCGCCTTTAGCTTAATTTCTCTGATTGAAGATTTTAATCAGAAATGTAACACAGTAAGTGACATCTTCTGGTAATGTGACACTTGGAAATTCACAAGTTGCTTGACAGAGTTCCACATCTGAGCCTAATGTCTCAGCCTGAGGTGGTCAGAGAATATTGGCTACTTAACACACAAAACAAAAGCAAAAAAATAGCAGCTAAGTAGTAGTACTGGAGCAAGGCAGAATGGTGGTGGAATGATAAAATGCTTTACAAGTAGTGAAAGAATGCATCTAGAATTTTAAACTTCTATTTATATTTTAAATTAGAGATGTCAAACAAAGTGCCTGATGGCAGAGAGCTGAACCCCACAGAGCTGAGATCCTCGGTTACACGTGGAATGACCCATGAAGCACTGACAGAGAAATCCTACTTCTTCTAGGCCACCTGCAACCCGTGGGAATCTCTGCTTTCTCTCAAAAAGCCAACTGCTCCCTCTGGAGTTGCAGATTTAGTACAGCTTGCCAGGGGACAAGAAACATTTTTAATGCATTTGAAAACACTAAGGCGGCTTATCAGGGATGTGTTCCCTCCCAGCTCCTCCAAATTAGAAAAGACATTTTTGCACTTACTTTCAAGTTAAAACAACTTGGACAGCCTTAGTCCAAGATTATGCAATCGTTGCGAGTAGGTGACTATTGGACAGGTAGTATGAGTTATTATCGCCTGTGAGAAAATAAAGCAGGCCAGTCACAAACGTGTAGAATAAATCTTGGAGGCTGAGAATAGAAGAGAGACATACAGCACATTGAGGAGGCATAATGATCTTTAGAGGTTTCTCTGTTAAAATTAAGAAAAGCAGTGAGTGGTAGCAAGGTCCACAGCTCATCTGGAAAGAGGGTGAATGTTGAAGCAAGGAAGCGTGCAGTGGCAGTTGAGTATGAAGTGACATCACTCCAGGGAACATGCTCTAAAAGCTCTGGTAAGGAAAGGAATTAAATGAGGTCTTCTGCAAGCAGCAAAGCTGCAGGGAACCTGCATGCCAGCATGCCTCCGGGCATGGTGCTCCTCTCTGTGAGCTGCCAGGGCACTGGGAAAGGAGGGAGAACCTGCTGCAAACTGGGGGGTGGTTGGTTGGTATCTCCCAGAGCCTTTGAGATTAGTGCTGGTCATAAAGTAACTGAAAAAATGTTTTCATACCTGCAGTAAACGCAAAAATTGAAACTAATTCTGATCGAATGCTTAGTCAGAGATTTAGTAGGTGCTGGTAATTCAAGAAGAGGCCAGAGAGTAGAAGACTCTTCAACTTAGAGTAGGTAATAAAAAGACAGTAAATAATGAGGACAAACGTAGCAACACGCAGGCAGGCTTAGAACATTTAAAATTGAAAAGATTGCAAAGACAGTTGAATACAGATAAATGTAGAATAATGACGTTTATGAGTCTTTATCGCATACTGTAAATGAGCGTGGCTTGTAAAATATGACGAATAAAAAAGGAGCAAGAAAGTTGAAAGATAAGTCTCTTAATATTATTTATGAATAATGAGAAGTAAAGTGAATGAGTAGAGAAAAGAAAGACTATATATGAAATAATGAAGACTTTGATGAGTTGTTATCGCACAAATCTGTGTTCTTGATAAAATATGAGGACAGAGTAGAGTCAGAAGACAGGTCTGTGTGGAATGAACAAACAGGAGTACGAGAATAATGTACTGAATAATGATGGCTCTTAGGGGTCTCTGTCTCACCCCAGTGTGTGTTGTAAATATATGGAGTGCACTAATAAAGGGATTAGAAAAGGAAAGGCAGGTCTGTTGATGTTAGAAATATGAGAAAACAATAGAAACCGGTATTTTCTGCTCTCACAAATCAAAGAGAAATTGAACCTGGCTCTTCTGTTGAGTGAGTCTTGTGAGTCTGTTGAGACACACAAGAGCTTGATTGCCTTCAGTGGATCAGCAGGTTTTGCCCACAAATAGAGGCACAACCAATTTAGTCAACGTAGAAGACAAAAAGGTGGTAAATCAGAACTCTGGTTTATATATTGGCAGTAATGCAGCCTTTCCCATTCATCTGGGATTTATCAGCATCTTTGCTGAAAATCAGCATCTTCCTATGTCCTGGGAGCATGGAATTCACAGTAGCAACTGTGGTGAATGGCATGCGCGCAAAGGGGTTAATTTCTACCAGTTGCATTTTCTCAGGTCATAGTCAGCCGGGTTTGATGATATCATAGTGATAAATTAGTGTCATGTCAAGTGGCTTTGGAGAAGGGGATCTTATGAAACAAGTCAGAATTTTCAGAAATTTATGGTCTCCAATTTGTGTGTATGATTTCATTGGATCATGATCAATTGATCTCTCAAGGGATATTTTTTAAATTCATATATAAACTCCTAAGTAACTTTAATCTCAAGAGCTATTAAGTTTTTCCTCTAGATTACATATTCACCGTGCAAAGATAGGATGTGTCTGTTGAGGTCTAACATGAATTTTCAAATTGAGAGAGAAGCGTAACAATGTCTAAATTTATGCTTATTGCTCATATTGAGTAATTAATGCCAGTTACCTTTATAAGTATTCTATTGGTTTTGACCCTAAATGTCTTAATGCTATCAAAAGAATTCTGCATACACTGTTCACTTTGTTATGTGAAACCACAGTTCCAGGAAATATGTGCAATTGAATCATTAGATCCCAAGACTTGGATCCGTTCAGCCAGTGGAGGTGGAGGTATGCTACATGGGGCAAAATACTGAAAGGTGTTTCAGTGGAATGTAGCTGTGTAAGCTCTTAGAAAGTCCCACGAGGTCCTAATCTGCACCAGGAGGGTATTTTACATCTTATTCCTCATCCTTGATGAGACTTGTCTCCTTTACATTTCAGTCTTCAAATACGTAAAAGGCTAAGAAAAAGAGAGTAATTTCTTCACCCTTTCTGTGGCTAGGGTGAATACCATGGTCAGAAAGGGCAGTGGTGGAGGTTCAAATTAAACAGTGGGAAAGACTTGCCATGAGTACAGCACTCATACAGAAGCATTGGAATGGGTTACTTGGTGAGGTTATAGAGTTAGACAAGCATCTGTCTGGAGTAATGTAGGTATAGTTGATCTTACCTGAGGCAAAGGAATGGACAAGCTAAAGTCTTGTATTTCCTTTCAGCTCTCATTTTCTATGATTCTGTGATCCTGTTAGCCTCTGATTAGACCCACTTAGTAATGAGTTCACTTTCCTGTCCATTGACTTTGATGTGTTCTGCTGTGCTGCCATATTCCTCTTTAAGGGAATGGGAGGATTTTTATGCTGGAAAGTGGGTGCATGTCCAACACATCCCAGAGGGAATTTAAAAGGGCATAACATGTGATGTGGGATTGAGAAAAATGTATGTTACACTTGATTAGGTGCTCTCTGAATTTACCTATATAACTTTCTGAAGTTCAGTGAAGACCACGTGTCTCACTGCTGCCTTATCGCATTAGTTCAGCTTTTTTCTAATAGTCAGCGATACCCTATTCTTAGCAGAAGAGAATGAGGTCTCATTCTCCCCTTTCACAAATCATCACCCCCTGGAGCTGCAGCAAGCTAAATCATGCTATCAGTGAAACCTTTGCAGTGCTATTCAATGGCAGAACAAACGGTATTCTGAAATATAGCCGGAAATGGAAATATATTCTTGATACACCCGCGATTCATGGGAGAGTCTGTGTGTCATCTTCATGAGATAATGTTTTTTCAAATCAATCTTTTGGACTTGTTTGAATTTCCATTCAAAATCAACAGTCACAATGATATCAGAGTAGTTCTGTCTGTCTGGGACAGAACACAGTATAGCACAGCTTCTGAAATTAATGCCCTTCTCACTCTCCTGATGTGTCTAACATGTTGCCTTCTACTCTTTTGTTACAGACGGGCATGTGTCATTCGAGGCCAGGTGGTAGCAATAGATGGAACGCCTTTGGTTGGAGTGAACGTCAGTTTTCTGCACCACAATGAGTATGGGTACACCATCAGTCGACAAGATGGAAGGTCAGACGTTCATGTATGGTCTTTCGCTGGTTTAGATTTGCATAGTTAGGGCCATGTACCACCTTCTATTCATGTCCAAAGTTTTCACAGACATCGCTGTTCATAGTCTGGATTGAGGATGGCATCTGGCCCTCTGCTCTGGGAGCACATTTAGTTAGAGCTCTCTGTGGTGAAGGGACCGAAGAAGAAAGAGAAGAAGAAAAAATCTCAACAGCAGCAAGACTACAGTGGCATTCAAACACCTGGAGTCAAAATGTGACAGTACTGCTGTAACAGCACCTTCTTGACATTTGAATTCTTTCACTAGTCAGGTTTTCCAGAGAATTCCCTGTCTTCCCCTTTCTTTTTTTTTTTTTCCTCCTGTTGTTAACTGTGAATTTTCAGAGTAGTTTATTGAGGTGTCAATGAAGTTAACTCCTTTAGTTGATTACCTGAGCCACACAAGTAAAAGTGAGGACAGACTCTTTCCAGAGCCAAAATGGTTAAATTTCTGTTCCACAACCAGTCCTGAACAATGCTGGCTTCCTTGTAGGGCTGAGTTCAGTTCTCAAAGAGAGAGGAAGTTCCTATATATTCTATATTGCACTCCAGGGTTGGCCATCCATTTGCAATAGTGTCATGATTTGCTCCTGAACTTGAATTAAACTGCTAAGGGCAGTTTAAGACTTCATCTTCCTTGGCTGTGTTGTGAATGACAAGAAATCAGAAGCTATCTTCCAATGGGGACAGAGTCTAATTTGTCACTGTTTCCACAATTTATTTTTTTTGTTTGGCTTTGTCAATTTATAAAAGTAAGGAGCATGCGTATTTATTTTACCTTAGTTTATTGACTTTCAAATCGCACTGCTGAAAGTTAGTAATTATGATTTCCTCTTTACACTAGCCTGGATAAAGTTGTTGCATTAAAATATGCTACCTGTATTTCGCTGTGAATGTAATCGGTGTCATTTGGGAAATGTGATGAGATATGCATAATTAAGTCTGACTTCTTATCACAGTTTGTTACCATCAAAAGCCTCCATAATAGATGCATTCAATAATACAGAGGGTGAAGTATCTATTTACATATTACCTTATGTTGCCTGACTATGGATGTCAGAAACTCAGAAAATTGAGACTCCGTGTATCGTGCCTTCTATGTCCCACTGTTTTGCAGCCCAGATATGCCAAAGGTTCTTCACAAGCACTCCCAGAGGATCACCTGCCTTATGTACAAGAGCTGATTCAGTTCTCACTGCAATTAATCGGCACCTTTCCCAAAAATTTCATATCCTGCACAGAGGGGTCTCCTGTTCAGTGTACACAACCTTTTCCTCCTGCTACTTTTAGAAAAAGGGAAAGGATATGTTAATAGGGAAAAGACCTAACAGGCTTTCAGACTTCTTATTCTGCATGCTGTACCTGCAGAGATTATGAGTAGCGTCCTTTGGGCTAGGAATTTCTCTTCATATCAACCAAAGTAACTGGGTCCACGCTCTTGGATTCTCTTACAGAATGACTCGTTGGTCTCACTTCTAGTTGATAAGTAGAGTGGAGATAGGCCAAGTAACACTGAAGTGCTGTACCTTGCTATTGATGCGTACAGGGCGAAAGCACAGAGAGGTAAAGCTGCTTTGTGAATACCAAGATGATGCCAGGACGGTATACTTGAATGATTTCACATAGTAAATTAAGGGCTGTAATGAGCAACATAAAGTTTTTTGTTTGTGATGCATTGAAAGTTGTGGCAATACGATGATAAAACAAAAAGAAACAAAGCATTTTGCTTTCTCTCTTCCAGTTTTGACCTTGTGGCTGTTGGAGGCATCTCTGTCACTCTAGTTTTTGACAGATCTCCTTTCATATCTGAAAAAAGGACACTTTGGTTGCCGTGGAATAGATTTATCATCGTAGACAAAGTTGTAATGCAAAGAACAGAGTCGGATGCACTATCTTGTGACATCAGTAGTTTTATCAGCCCAAATCCGATTGTACTCCCTTCACCCTTGACAGCGTTTGGAGGGTCCTGTCCCGAAAGAGGAACTGTTATTCCAGAGCTTCAGGTAATGAAAAGACTTCCCAATTAACAATTTGTTCAGTTGCAGAACAAGTTCTAGACCATTTTAGAAGATGATACCAAATAGTGAGCAATTAACCGCTGTGATGTTATTCACTTGTCAGAACGACACAAATGCATATCTCTTTAGCACTGTTTCACAAGATGCTTTTCTCTTTTTTTTTTCTTTATTTTTTGTTAATATTTTAAGGTGCTTTATTTCTTACCTCCATGTAGAAGAAAGTGGGGAGTCCTAACATGATTTGTTAGTAAATCCTGATTTATTTATAGTGATGCACAAAACCATTCCTAGGTTACAGATAAAAAGTACAACTTCCCCATACATCAATGTGAGACACGACCCAAGATGCTTTGAAGACTCCTAGGGATCTTTCATCCATTCACATCTTCTAGTTCTTTACAGTGGCATCTCCAGCTATATTTTAGCTTCTTGGGTTTTGTTACTTTCTTTCCACGGCAGAGCAATTTTAATATGAACTTAAGGATTGTTTTTATTTAAATGTCTTTTATCTTGACACTCCCTTAAGTCTTTAGAAGCAATTTCTAATTAAACTTGTATTTAACTGTTCTTTTATTTGGCACTTAAAAGAGATTATATGAGTCAAACACCCCAAAAAATACAACTACACAGGTTTCAGAACATATTAACCTCCATGATTTTTAGTATGTTGTTTGAGCAGTTAGAGTTCAAGCGATAAGGCATCCTTTGGGTTCTCTTTACATTTCACTGAGCAAGTCTGGAAGAGATTTTGGAGACTACCTTTAGACATGAATATTTTCAGCCTTTTCTCTTTTTGTCTTAAAAATGTTGCTACTGATTAAGAGCCTTTATTCTACATGTAAGCGACCTTGGTTTGAACTCAATTATGTCTAAACATCTCCATAACTATTAAAAAATTACCACGTTTCAGCCAGTTGATGACCATAGTGTTGCTTCACAGAATGCACTAAGTGAAACTAATGAACATAAATTAAGAATAACTGATGTACACTAGTAAGAAAAAACTGGGTCGCATTACTCCACATGAGGTATTCCTGGGTCTTCTTTAAACAGCGTGGTACCCAAAGATGCCGTCGACTCGGAGAGAAACTGCCCCCAGTCCTTTTTTTGTGTTAAGTTTCATTGTTCAGTACTGGGAAATGAACAAAAAGTAACCCAGAATAATAGGAGAAGGAGATATATTAGCATGTATTAATGCATGAATATTTCTTCCTGCTTTTCTATTAAAAAATGAGAAGAGATGTCAGGAGTATGACAGAGGGGGCAGCTGGGATGTCAGCAGGA